AGTTGCAAGAGTCAAGAACACGTAAAAGCCTTATCCCACCTTTTCGCTTGCCATAACCGGCTCCACTAAAAACACGTTGATCATCAAAATTGCTAAACAATTTAATGTTGAGTAGATTAGCGGCATTCCGGACATAACGGCTGTGATTCACGTGAATGTAACACAGTAATTTGGATGCCGGTTGTTTCAGGAGTTCGGCCACATGGGCAGGTTGGCAGCCCGACAGCCTGCAAAACTCTGCACTAAACGTGTTTTGCACGTATTGTGAACTTTTGCTCACATTAAAAAGTGCGTAGTCTCGACAGGGCTTGCGATACTGAGTACTGATATTGTAAGTTTGGTTGATGTTGTCATTTCCGTAGCGTCCAAGAGAAGCACACACAAAGCAAGTTACATCTTGGCTGACCTTAACTTTGGATGAACGTGCAGCCCATGCCCTAAGAGATCTTTCCGCAACATTCTTGCCGTGCCTTCGAGCATTTGACATGACATCCCAACTAGCTTTCTTACTTCTACAGGCAGTGCAAAGATCAACCTCGGCGCTTGTCTCTACAGAAAGGACTTTGAACGGATTACAGTGTTCACCAGTGTCGACAGCTGCATATCTCGCGATCTTGGCAGGCTGGAGCGACATAGAAAGACTGGGTTTCTTTGAGTCAGCGAGCTTGCAGGCGAAGGAAGCATGGGTTGCCAGCAGCAAGACCACCCATAAATGGATCGGCTGTAACGGTGGCCGCATCACTCATTATGCACACGCTGAACTTGAAATCTCGGTTACACAGCCCTCAAACCTACAGTAAAGTGTGGCGTCGGTGGGGGCCTTGGAGGAAAGCAACGCGGCGATGAAGGCGGGGTGAAGACGTTGGTGTCGAGGACACTCACATGAGCCGCGAAAGAAGCATCACAGACGAAGCATCACAGACAAAGCTTTTCCAGCTCAGTACAGTGTACAGAATGCCAGCATTCCCAAACTTTATCATACGTCCCGAAATTGCAACATTTTTGCGGGATATCACCGACTGATTAGGGATATACTGTAGCGGGTGCAGCGGGGAGAGGTGTGGAGGAGACAGGCTGTCTCGGACTCGCAAGAGAATACAGTACAAGCTGAAATGGGCTGGAGCGTGTTGGCCCTGGAGGTATGCAGGCAAGGAAAAGGTGGGGATGGTTGTGGTCGGCAATGAAAGGGCCGGTGGGGTCGAGATAGGAAATGGTGGGGATGTCAGAGGGCGGCAATGAAAGGGGCGGTGGGGCCGAGGTAGGAAAAGGTGGGGATGTCAGAGGTCGGCAATGAAAGGGGCGGTACAGTAGTGTCGTGATTGGATAGTGGGGGAGAGGTGGTCGGGGTCGGCACAGAAAGGGGGCGAAGCGCCGTGCAAGGAAGAGGTGGGGATGTCAGAGGTCGGCAGTGAAAGGGGTGAAGGAGCCGGGCAAGGAAGAGATGGGGATGTCAGAGGTCGGCAATGAAAGGGGTGATGGGGCCGTGCGAGGAAGATGAGAGGAAGGCGCGGGTGGCACTGTGATGGGGAGGCGGGCCACATATGTAAGATCAATCTTTTCATTTACAAGTCACAAGAAACATGCAGAGTCACAAGAAAAAAAGTCACAAGAAACGTAAAGGAAGAAACAAGAGACAAAATCGTGATCTGGATGTACTGTTGAATGCACCGAGCCGACATTGATTCGCTCGATAACCTTTTGTAAATCTAGTCGTTGTACAATTTCTTCATTGGAAAGATTCTGCAATCAAGCGTTGCGCAAGCAAGCTTTGAGTTGTTCCCTATGTTAGTCCCCACTCATCCCACTGACAATCCGTCTCCCCTCTCCTTCCTCCCGTGCCTCGACCGCAGCCTTCGCCTTCACACATGGACTGCGCTCTCGCCCCTCCGTCCCATTATCCCTTCCCAAATTCGCCCTGCACCTCTGTAAACGCATCGGAGTCCTGTTCAAAACCCTGCCCCTCTTCCATCGAACCAGCACACGGGCACCTCCGAATACCTGCGACACCACCACGCGAAGCCCCGTCCCAATTAGGTCCAACTGCATTCGTGGCAACGTCTTCCCGCTGCAGACGTGCACCAAACGCACACCAAAAGCGCACCAAAAGCGCATTGACTACATTTAGTTCAAAGGTTGTCAGACGGAGAAGAGAAGTCCTTGCAAGGCCGGTGTTGCAATTGAAAAAGCTCGAAGCCCCTTCCAATCCATGGAATGAGTTTAACACCGCATGCAAACGGCCACTCTTGTGTACAATGTCCTGCCGCTTTGGACGTCTTGTGAGGACGTCCATTGTCGTCGTCCTGGTGAGGCACGCGAGAGGTAAAGTTTCAAAGCAGACGACAGAGCGATCTGAAAACGTGGTTTGTGTTTGTGTTTTCGATACTGTAGTATACATGCGTGAATACAGTGATTGTATCATGGCACGTTGAGGTGGACTGGGGTTAGATTTCAGATGTGGTACGAGATTATGTGTCGATGAGAGTCGTCAAGTAAAAGGTTTCAAACGTTTCGTTTGCGCAAAACAAGTTGCCCGCTAAGGAAGAAGGGTGGAAACTCGTTGCACCCCTCCCACTACTCCACTGCAGGGACAACTCCCACTGCCCGCCATACCAACACGAGAATCCCCATACCCTATTGCCCCATACACCATCGCTCGCAGTGCATTCGTAGCCGCATTTACGCGCCGCCATCCCGCCACACCACTATCCATCCCTCACAGTATGATGCAACAACGCTTCGGAAGACGATTTTCATTCCCCCCGTCTTCCCGCCGGCCCCCTTGCGCCATCCCCAGGGGCACACTGCAGGTCCTTTGCAGCGATTCTTTTTCTCCTCTGTTCTGTAGCAAATGGAAACCCTTCTGACTCTCCTGCTGCTCCTCCTCCCCTAAGAGCAATAAGGGTACAGTAGACGGCTGCTGCCCGATGGGCCAGAGGTCAGCTGAGACTGAGGGCGTATCTCGGGACCGTTCGCTGCGAAGCGGTTGTGAGACGGTGCGTGGTGGGTAGTGGTGGTCAAGTACCGTGTGAAGTGGCAAGAGATGGGATGAATTGATGCGTGGTTGGGGAAGATCAAGGGAGGCCGTGGGTACGGAGATTACGATATGATCATTGCAAGTCGTATTCTGTTATTTCTGAAGAGGTTTGGGGGAGGGAATGATGATGTGATGTGATGGTCCCGTCTCTTCCTGTGGACAGGATATAAAGTGAGGGTACTGTACAATATTCGAAAGTATTTGAGGGATCAGAAACGTGGACACGTCGCAGCAACAACAATGATATTCGTATGCGCCGTACCGTCGGTTGTGTACAATAATAGGCCCAATATGGCATTGGGCCCAGTATTGTACACAACCGACGCAATGCCAAAATGCATGCAATGCGGCAGCACTGTACAACTGCTGTAATTCGTATGAGTGGCACGTGGCCAAGTGTCCACGGCGGCAGTTGAAGTGCGGGGCAACGCGGCCGGTACAGTACTGCAGCAATGGTGTGGGGTTGCACGTGACAGTAAGTGCCCGCCAACAGTCATCAGCGTGACAAGAGCCACGCACCCCAATTTAAGAGTGAGCGTGGGGAGCCACCCATAAACGCTGGCCCATTTGAATTTACGGGGCTCCGTGCGACAGTCACACCATCATCGCTGTAAGCGGATGAAAGGATGGAAAGTCATCGAGAGAAACATCCACAGGAACACAACCACAGCCCGCAATTTTAGAGTTATGCTCTCGTCCAATGGCATTCCTGGATGCGGCGCGCTACCCATGACGAACCCCGGCCGGCGGCATTCCCCATTGGCTGTGTGCATCACCTTTTCGCGGCGTACTGGTTCTGCTTGGTTTTCCTCTCCCTTGCGTTTCGACGCGCCAAACTCGACTAACAAACAGATCAGCTCCCCCTCCCCCACATCCTACAGTATGTATTCCACTGGGGCAACCAGAAAAACAGCGTCGACACTCTATTCTTGAGCCCGCCGCCGCCCCGCTCTGCACCACTCGCCCTGTCCGCACCCTTTTCCATCAGCACGGAAAGCCCACCCGCACAGCTGTTCATGTTGTTCACATGAGCAGCGGCAGTTTCGCTATCGCCTTTGGAATCCGATTCGCCCCGCCGCCGCACGATACGGCTGCATCTCCTAACGAGTCGATGCAGTCCTCCATCCGTGGCAGCGGATACGAATCCGCTGCGGTCTTCGCGTTGAGACGCCCTGTACATGGATACGGAATGCACGATAACTGGCATGCCTGAGAGGTGCACATCTAAACCCGCTTGGTTTTACAATACGGTAGTGCGCGCGGTACCACCCCAATCAATCCTTTGTAAACACGTCCACAAGTTTCCATCGGTCGATGCTGCAACACTTCACAACGAACAACTTGTTGCGGTTCCAACATCCTTCGAAGGTACCAGGTATGTGAAGGAAGAACCAAGGACGGCGCGGGCTACAATTGTAAGAACGGGCTTCACTCCACACTACGGCAACCTTATCATCCTTCGTCATCAACTTTGAGCATCACCTCGACACCATCCCCTCTGACGGCCGTTGCTGCTTCAAACTTTCCATCGCGACAAGCACCCCGCCGCCGCCCATACAGTATTTACGTTCCCCTCCGTGCCCTTCCCGCGTGACCGCCGTCACGCCCCCGCTCATTCAAGTCTCTTTGGGAAGATCTCCGTTCGCAGGCGGCCCCACATTACACTTGCTTACGCCTTCCTCTCGCTTTCCTCGGCAACAGACACACAACCGACTCAAAACGCAGAGCTTCAAAAACACACAAAAAATCCCCGTCCGCGTTCCTTCAACTGTGCCCCTGTAAAAAGGACCAAAAAATAACCTCTTTCACATCCCGCCTGGCGACATTGCGCCGCACATCAGCGCTTCCGTCTCATCAACGCTTCCCTTACCCACGCCCAGTATCTCCCTGCCCCACCCATCCTGACAACATACCACTCCCCTCCCCATCCGTCCGGCAGCCCGCCCTTCTCCAGGGCACCTCACACATGCCGCGCACGCCGCGTGCTGCCGCGAAGGGCGTCGAGTTTTCTGACGAGCCCATCATTCTCGGCGCCCCGGCCTCTTCCACTGCCACCACCGCAGATCATTCGCCCTCCATATACCAATCTCATCATTCATCCGAGCCGCACCTTCACATTTCACCGGCCGATGTAGCTCTGCGCCCACCAGGAAAGCGTCGTGCCCGCTTCCATTCTGACCAGAGTCTCACCTTGAATCACGTCGAAGAGCCTTTGGAGACTTCATGCACGGATAGTGATGCCTCTGCCTCGATTCCTAGCTCCCCGCTGCATCCAATCGCCAAGAAAGCTTTCCTTGCCGCCCAGTATGATGGTACGCCGCAGAACGAAAAACTTGTCGAGCAATCCACCCGTATCAATACCAAGCTCAACTCAATGCCGTCGGGGGGCGCCTTTTCGTTTATGAATTCTTCGGAGGATATTGTATCAGACTCTCTGGACACTTCTGATTCTGACACGGAAACGGCTTCCTCCACGGATGATGATTTACGCTCCTCGAGAAGGATGATTCGAGTTGATGGCAGTGCAAAGCTCTCCAGCGCCTCTGGTCTCAACGACGATGACTTTCTCGACGACGACGACGACGATGGGTTTGGGATCGAGGGTGCAGAAAGGGTTGACGAAGAAGAGGACATACAAGTCCGTTCTTTTGGACGCTCCTTTGCGAGGGTATCGCTCAAGGATGGCGAGGACGTAATCATCAGGGACCCTCGTAAGAAAGACGGCGCTCGCTCCGAAGTCGCTTTTGCTCTTCCCGGAAGTGAAGAAGATGGTGGCCGGAGGAGATCCAGCAGTGTCCGCGTCCCTGATCGACCAAGGCCTTTGGAATCAGACGGTGATTCAGGCCTTCGGGGGATGAACACGTCACGAAGCGATCCTCCTCGTCGCAAGTCTCGCATGCGCCTGACCTTCAACAAGAGAGCCGCTACCGCAAACGCAGTGAAGAACGCACAACGCAAATCCATGGAGCGCAACTCGATCGATCGAACTTCAGTCGATCGCACGTCTGTTGATCGTGACGGCGTTGCTCGCCCCTCGATCGATCGCGTATTGGCGACGCGTTCGATGCAACCGGATGTAGACATGTCAAGCGATACGGATTCCGATGTCATGATGACTGGGTCATGCTTCCCATCTCGAAAAGGGACGGCCTCGCGGCGACGGACAAGGAGCTCCACGTCGAACGTGAAGCCCGGAGCGTCAGTTGATATTGCGTGGCCGCAACAAGATAAGTCGAAGCTCGGCGGATGGGGACGAAAGAAGTCTCAGGCGGCAGGGCAGTTGGTGTCACCGCCGGACATGAGCAACATGGTCGAAGGACGACGGCGCCATCCGAGCCCTGAAAGGAAGATTGTCAAGAACGTGTCCTTGCAAAAGGACGACTGGATAGATTTTGCTACCAACGCGGCCCGCAGTCAGCGACACCCGTGGCTGGTTCGCGTGTTGTCCGCAAATAGGATGTCCTCACCTGCGAAGAAACAGACGAGACCGATTGCAGCGCAAACAGAGCAGGACAAGACCCGGAAGAAGAGCAAGCGGTTTTGGAGAGTGTTCAGTCGCAAATCGAAATGATGTTTTTTTCGTGTGATGGGGGGCGTATTGTTTCATTGCGGTGCTCCGTTTGAGTCTTTCGTGGAGATCACGTTTATGTATTAAAAAGGATTGGTGGTGTAGTGGTTGCTGCGTCGGCAGGCAGGCGTAGAAATAGTGAGAGGCTGGGGGGTTTGAGGGGGGGGGGAGGGGATTAGGGAGCATTTGTAATGCTCTTCCGCCGAGAGCGCTCAATGCCTCCTCAGGAAATTACAGGTAGTTTGATGTTGCATGTATCATTAGTTGATGCGTGGTGGCTTGGCCGTTGCCTCTTCTAAGATTTGCATGTAGTGAATGAATTTACGAAAAGCGACGCGCTCGTGAGTGTCCAGACAGGACTGAGTATCAAAAAAGGCGTGCTGGTGGGAAACTGAGCCGTAGTGAGCGTTCCTCGGTTCATACGAGGTGGTTTGTGTGCTGTGAGAGCAAATACCCAGTGCTTGCGACAGATATTGCATGAGATGACCTGGCCGGACAAGGTTGATTGTAGCGGTTATTTGTAGGTGAATCGATTCCAATTGGTTTCAAAAGGTCGTTTGCTTGAGAAATAATTGTGCCGCAGAGAGTTGACAAAACGGATAGAGCTTCTAGAAGCAGTTGCCAACACTGTACAGTAGTCCTGAGTGCGTTCATCCTTGCTCCGCTGAGTCTCGCTTATTGGATGCAATGACTGCCATATGATTTGTCGGAAAAGGTTGATTTTTTTTTCTTAATTTCTACAGCTCAAATTTGGTCCGAGGCTCTCGTGCGGCTGTACTCATCATTGTCCCGTCCCCAACGCAGTCCACGAGACCCTCGCGTGAGCACTACGCAACCGAAAACCGTGCCATTCCCACACAGCAAAAACCCCTGTCCGGTGCCGCACACCTCCACTTCGCCATCACCATCTGACACTAGGCGTCCTCGAAGCAACGTACACACCCCGCCCGTACGCACCATTCGCATTCGCATCGCAACCAAACGCCCCGGCTTGGTTGCACGCGGTTATCATGACGGCTTCCGTGCACGCATTGCGTGAGCGCCTGCACACCCGAGAGCATGAGCTCAAAGTGCTGCGCGAAAAGATCGAGAAAGCGAGGCAAGCGGCCTCGAGCCCTGCCACGAAATCCATATCCGCTATTCAGCAGCGGTATATGGCCGCCGTCGCCGAACTTGACAAGAAAGAAAAGGAAATTCCGAAGCCCATCGTTAACTCATCGACGGCTGGCGTTTCGAACTTGGCCAGCAAATGGAACCAAGGAATCAGCAGCGCTCAAGTCACCAAAACCCGCGTTGATGTTCGCGGTGATGTTCGGGGTACGCAGAAGAATTTTAATGCTTCCGACGTGCCAAAGGCGACTTCAAATCAGCCTACCAAGACGAAGAAATCCAATGTAGATCCAGGGCCTGCCGAGCTGCTTGTAGAGGACGAAGATGCCGGTTTGCCCAGCTGGGCGATTAACCAATCCAAAAAAGTTATTCGGAAGGAGAATGCTCGTAGCTCTATCAGAGATGTCGATGTCAAGGAAATACAAGGCAGCGTCCTCACCAATGCCGCTAGAGATGGCTCTGAAGCACAAGGGGAATCTGTTGAAGCAAAGGGAAATGTCAAGGCGGCCCTTGCTATGTGGGGGAAGACAGCCGAGGAGGACACTCTGCTTCTCAAGAAGAAAATGGAAGAAGAAGAGAGACGGAAAGCAGCCGAGGCAATCAAACATAAAGAAAAGAAGAAAGAGGAGCGAGAACGCGCCGCGAAAGCAGCTATTGAACGGTTTGCCAGCTTGACGCTCTCCAGCCTTCCCGCTCAGGAGCCAACCAAGGAGGTTGAACTTGTCGCGTATCTTGAGAGGAAGATTGTCCTAGTCGAGAAGGAGATCAAAATCACAGAGGAAGAGCTGTCTAAGTTAGAGGACAACTAGTATCTCATTCAACTCATGCGTGTTACACCCTAACTGATATACTTCCATGTTCACTCCTTCAGTCGCCATTTGGGGGGTGGAGTCTCTGGCGTTACCGGAGACCAGGGATCATCCACAGAAGACTACATAAGTCCTTTTCTTCCTCCCCCCCCCCCCCCCCCCCCCCCCCCGCGCCGTCTGCCCCATTGCTGTTCACCCTGTTGCTATCCGGTTTACTAATAGGAAAGAGGAGAAGTGCCAGTATGTCTGGTACTCCCGATCCCGTCGGCATCCCGAGCCTAGCTACCAGTCCCATTGTTAGTCTTTGTGTCGACGTAATTCGTGATGGTAGATCGTGTGCTTTGCCGCGCCCTGAAACTAAATGTCCAATTTCCCCCATTTCCCACTTCCTTCAACCACTCAGCCGGATCCAAAATCGATCAAGTCAGTGCTGTCAACGACAGGTGGGGGAGATGTCTGTTCCGAAGGAGCAGACCTTTTCCGGTTGTCATATGTCCACGAGGGCTTTGATTTTGATGCTGTGACCTGCAAATCACTAAAATCGATCAGAGATGCCACTTCGTTTCCTTTTGAACCAACGTCGGATGTTGACTGCGAGATTGAAGCAGTCTGACTGATTGCAGAACTGATGGGTAAAGGAATCTTCGCTCGAGAAATTTGCTGTTTGGTAGACTCTGCAGGTTTCGCGGCAAGGGATGCGAGCGAGGAACCTCTGGACCGGGCGTGCCCGCCACCCACCTTATCCAGCGGTGTTAATGGGGCAGAGCTGATGGGTGGCATTTTGACGGGAGCCACAGCTGCTGCCCCTCCGAAGGCGGAATCGAAATCTGCCCATCCTTGCTCTTGTATTGCAATTCTATTTGCGGGGGCTGTGGAGTTGTTCGCATTGCTCTGCAAGGGGAAAGCCGTCCCACATGCCTTTGGTTGCGGACTGGCGTATCTAGCAGGAGAGCTCGTGGGCACATTCGGGAGAGGTTGTGCGTCGAATGAGAGCAGGTCACCTTCTGGCCCGCAGAGTTTTGGCGCTTGCTCTGTACCAAAATCTCGAGCACGTTGCTTGCGGAGACTAGCTCCAGCCTTCCGCAAAGCGTCGTCCGTTTTACGTCCAAGCAATGCGTCGACCCGTTCCAGCAACGCAAACGAATCGATTCTCTCCTCGGGAGAAATCGTCAACATGGCTTTCAGCAACTCGATATACTCGCCCGGATATTGCGGTTCTGGAGGAACGGCGGGGAGGCCTTTCAAGATCTGCAGCGAGGACATGCCATCAAAGGGCAGTTTATCGTAAAGCAGGGCGTGCCAGATACACCCCAAGGCCCAGACATCAATCTTCTCACAGACAAACTGCTTGGTATAGACATCTGCGATTTCGGGGGCTCTGTACATAGCCGAGCAGGAGTTGGCAATGTCTTCCTCGGCGTCAAGGATCTCCTTGCGCGTCGTGTGGCGCTTAGCGATGTTGGAGGCACTGCCGAAATCACAGAGCTTGTAACATGAGGCTAAGCGGTCGTAGAGGACATTTTCTAATTTGACGTCGCGAATGGCGATCGGAGGTGTTTGAGCGTGCATGTGAACAACGGCCGCGACGACGTTTTGAAATATAGTGAGGCGCTTCTCCTGTGAGAGGGTGCGGCTCGAGCGAGCGAGGTATTCCGGCAGTGTACCGCCGTCGACGAGGTCGAAGAGTAGAAAGGCGTGACCTTGATGAAAAGTGGCGCCGTGGAAGGCGACGATATTTTCATGTGGCGGAATTGCGTGCAGCAATTCTATCTCGCGACGTGCGGCGGCTTCAGCGTCGGGGTCTTGACACGGGAGTCGCTTGACTGCGTAGCGGATGGTGGTGGGGCGTGGGTGGAGCGGGGTAGCGATGTGGACAAATGAGAAACCACCTTCTGCAAACACAGGGCCGAGACGAAGGGAGTGTGGTCCGATGTTGATGACAGTATTGACGTGAGAGGTATGCGTGGAGGGGCCAGAGCTGAAGGCGTCGCTGACGTTTCGCTCAATGGCTTTTTTGAAGTTGCGGAACATCGTGAGGGTGAGATGCGGGGCGGAAGGGGTGGTGAAGTCGTTGATGGTTGCTCTTGAGGAACAAGAGGCGAGGTCTATATCACGCTACTACCCACCTGTACCTGCGTAGGTAGTGTCTATCGGACCATTGTTCCCATATGAGGACCATTGTTCTCATATGAGGACACCTGTCCTCATATGAGGACAGTTTTCGACATCTATTTTTCTTGACTTGCACCTTCTCGACAAAAAAGAAAAGGCTCCCGCCACCGTACTTGACTTCTGCCATGGGACCAGAAAGAACTTTGTGAGAATTGCATGTTCTTCCTGGTCGTTTTGAGATATGTCTGGAAAAGAAGCCTTTCAAGCCACCTTAACACCGCATGTAAAATAACTTAGAAACCAAAAATGCCAGTTTAAAAAGCGAACTAGGTACTCAATCTGCATTACATTCTTAATCTTTCGGCGTGTTCAAAGTTCTGCTATCTCGGGGTTTTTCTTCTGCAAGATGTTATAGCCGAGAACAAGCACTCTAAGGAAATAGTGTCCAAGGTAGCGTTTTAAATAATCAATTTAATTTATGCATTTTTGCAAAAAAAAGGGCTGTCCTTCGATGAGGACGAGACCGGGTCTGATAGACACTTAGCTATAGTGTCTCTAGTGGCTATTGGACACTTGTCTTCAAACGAGGACATTATTCGACTTATTTTATTCTTGACTTGCGCTTCCTCGACAAGAAAGAAAAAAAAACCGCCACTGTACTTGACTTCTGACTTGGGGACAGAAAGATCCTTGTGAGACATACATGTTCTTCGTGGTCGTTTTAGATATGCCTGGAAAAGAACGTTTTTTAAACCACCTTAAAACCGCATGTAAAAGAAGTTCGAAACTAAAAACGCCAGTTTAAGAAGGGAACTATGTACTCAATCTGCGTTAATTTCTTAATCTTTCTGCGTATTTAAAGCTGCTATGCCACTGTTTTACAAGACGTTATTGCCGAGGGCGTGTTCGTTAAAGAAATGACTTCCAAAATGGCTTTATAAAGTTTCGATTTAATAACGTTGTCCGTGAAGTCGCGAAAACACGTGTTTTGGCCGCGAGTTTGCTCAGATTTTCTGATTGCAAATTTTGCAGACAACGAGTTTTGCAAAACTCACAGCATACCGAAAACTCGGGGCATGTGAGTTTTCCACGAGTTTTCACATCCGCCTGACTACAGCAGTGCCGGATCGACCCGTCTTGAAGGAAAACGAAGTTGGATTTCCGCTCTCTCATCAGCACAAGCGAGTCTCATACTGCACGGGTCGTACCTGTTTGCGTCATGGACGCCTCTATCACTTCATTTACCCAGAGTCCATCAACGGATCAAAGCACCACAAGATCTGTCACATATGCCGGCAAAGCAGTCGCAGAACAGAGACAGGAAGAAGCCTCTAAAAAGCGGTCCTCTCCAAACGGCCCCCCTCAGCCTGTCAAGAAGACGAAACACATCGCCCTTTCGACTGACAACCTTTCTATCCTTGTGGCGAGCTACAATATTCGCTTCAGTGAGTATTCGCCCAGGTGCACGTGATCCGTCGGACGGCACAACGATGTGCCAGACTTGCGTTTGTTGCGGGCAGGTACCTTGCTGGAGGTCAGTCCGCAAAACTCGTGGTGGGATTTTTCAAACTCGGGTTTACTTTACGTCCAGAGAGTTTGTGGGCAAATGGAAAAAAACAACGCGTTATTTTACGAACAACGTTACTGTACAGTGGATCCTCGCTAACTGCATGCTCGGTTTCTGCATATTCTCGATTACTGCATGCGTTCGTCAGCTACCGGCTGCGGAGCAGCGATTCCAGCCTGTATATGATATTGAACTGCATACTGTACCCTTGGTACCGTATAACTGCATGAAGAAAGTGATCGTTATCATATCGAACCCTAATACAAAGGCTTAGTATGAAACAGGTAAAAACTTATGGCAACAGATATGCAGTGCAGTTAGCGAGGATCCACTGTATATAATTTTTGCAAAAAAGCTGGCCTCATGTGAGGCCATGCCTGACCTCATATGAGGAAATCGCTTGTCTTCAAGAGACACTTAGAGCACCCCTAGTGTCTAGGTGACAAATGACCTCATATGAGGCCAGTTTTTAGGCGGGCTTTTGCAATTCGAATAATTGTAGAAATTTATCGCTACTGTAGTGAAAAGCTTACGACTAAACGTTGGCAAACCAGGAACATTCAATTCCGTATCTCAGTCTTCCCTAATCAACACTTTCGTCTTCCTCTTCCCTAAATTTCTTCAAAATGGTGAGCGTCAATGATCCTCGAATTATTGCAGGTAACCGCGTCCACACTCGTGCAAGACTTCTTACAGCTCAGAGTAAATGTCGTCGCATGTATAGAGCCGCCTGGAAGATCAAGTTGGTCACGGGAACTGTCATTGGCATGAAAACTGACAAAGTGAAGGGTCGCAGTGTCACTTCAGTCAGGGCTAAATGGGAATTATCAGATGGCGTCAAGGAAGTCACGCTTCGCATAGCTAACATCAAGGCTGGTGAAGTGATGGAGCTGATCGATGACGGTCCTGAAGATCATATCCATCAAGAAACTGAACATTATGCGCGACCGGAGCCTACAGAGGACCGCGTGACGCCACTGGAAGGAGCACTCCGCCCGAGTACGAGGATCTCCGAGAGTTACGAAATGGATTCCCGAGATGGCCTCGTGAATGTCCACGGCCGGGCCTGGAAGCGTGAGGAAGTCACGATGCATTTAAATAGTATGATACCGCCGAGAAGATGGAAGGTGATTGGACCGATTGATGAGATTATATCCCGTGGTCACAGTCCATCTCAAATGATCTCATGGACTACTTCATGTGGATGTTCCCACAGGAGCACTTGGCGTTAATGGTTTCCTACAACAATGATGCAATGGAATCAAGGGGACTTCGCTTGACTACAACAGGTGAAATTTTGAAGTTTTTCGGCGTGCTAATCCTTATGACTCGGATTGAATTCAGCACCAGAAGGTCTCTTTGGAGCTCACAGGAAACCAGCAAATATCTCCCGCAACCTCAATTCGGAAACATCATCTCCCGCGGAAGATTCGAGGAGCTTCGTCACAATGTCACGTTTAGCTTTCCAGCTGACGCAAATGACAGATGGGGTATGATCAGGGACTTCATGGTCGCAATCAATGATCACAGAGCATCTCATGTGATTCCATCCCAGAACATCTGCGTTGATGAGAGTATGTCACGCTGCTATGGACTTGGAAGAGATTGGATTGAAACTGTTCTTCCTCATTATGTTGCCATGGACCGAAAACCCGAGAATGGCTGTGAGTTGAAGACTGCTGCATGTGGAAAAAGTGGAATCATCGTAAGAATTGAGAACGTCGTCTCAGCTGAGGAGACTTCTTTAAAGGATTTTGAAGGTGACCACTTACACGGAACCGCAGTGACTTTGAGGTTGTTACAGCCATAGTTTCACACCAATCGTGTTGTCTGCGCGGATTCGTACCTTGCTTCTGTCCACACGGCTGAATCACTTTATGAGAAAGGTCTTAGATTCACAGGTGTGGTGAAGACATCTACCAAGAAATATCCGATGAAATATCAATCTCATCTGGAGATTGCTGAAAAGGGAGAGCACGTCACACTAGTTTCGAAGCCTGTGGTCGGGCCTCACCTTATGGCAGTGATAGGAGAGGACCGAAACCGCAGGTACTTTATTAGTTCTTTCGGAACATCCAACGAAGGAACTCCAATCTACCGCGAGAGATGGCGTACACGTCATGGCGTGACAAGAAAAGAGGAATTGTCTATCCGTATTCTCTCAGTCTGCGAGCAGTATTATGAAACTTGCTCTCAGATTGACTGCCACAACAGATCTCGTCAGGATGATCTCGGCTTGGAAAAGAAGTTCGAATCAAGGAGTGGTCAATGCGTGTCAACACTTCTTTATTGTCCATTTGCATTGTGGATGCATGGAAACTGTATGCAGGTGCAGAAGGAGATGGTTCTAAGATGTCTCTAAATCAGTTTAATTGTGAGCTTGCTAACCAGTTGATTGATAACAAATATGATCGTATATCGTTACGTCAGCGAGAATCAGACAGTTGAAGTGCTGTTGAAGATGAAGATGTTGGGTTTGGCAGTGGAATTGGTACTCACCTAACTCCAACCACTCGCAAGAGGAAAAGCGCATCTGGCGAGGAGACTTGTGCTCTTTATCAATCCAGATGCAATATTTGCAAAGGTACAAAAAAGTCAAAGTTTATCTGCTCAGCCTGCAAGATATATCTTGACAAAGAAGTATACCTTTGTCATCACCAGACTGGGCGTGACTGTTTTAAGAAACACGTCGACGAACGACACGATCTTACTTACAAAGGTAAGTACTATTAGTGCTTAAGGCGTTCTCGGCCATTAAAACTGACTAAATTGGTCAGTATTTGAGTAAAATAGAGCACAAAGAGATAAAAAACTCCTTTTGTCCCCTATGGTTCTATCCTGCGTCTAAAGACTTGCTTGGAAGACCTGCAGCCGTGTCGGAATGCCCCTTTATGAGATGTCACCGTATTCAATCTCATGTTCGAGTGGGCGCTATAAAGCGTCCTGGGCTGCAGGTCACGAACAAGAAACATCGAGATCCCCGAAGGCATTTTTCGACGACTAAAGTGCTCAGCGAGGAGTTGAACTCCGGCCTGTAAGACTCAGCGATCCTTGCACAACACTGAGCTGGCTTGTCAGTTACTAACTAGTCGTTTATAGTTGTCTTTATAGTCGTTCAAAGTTCTACTTCGTAAAAATTGTGCTCCTTTTGTTCTATACTTGCGAAAATCTTAACTTTTTTGTTTAAATTTTACTGTAGAGCATTTGACCTCAAATGAGGTCAAGGGTGACCTCATATGAGGCAAATTGCCTGTCGTCTAGACACTAGCGGTTGAGTAAATGAGTGATTTTTTGATTTTTGGAGATACATTTGGTCACGAGCAACTCTAGTGGAGTGGAGTGAGTATCTCTA